GATACCGCACCGTGACGTCACAAACCAGTAGGTGGCAGTAGTGTTCTTTGACAAACATGGATGCCTCCAGTAAAGCACATTCAAATTAAAAAGAATCTTAATTTAAAAAACTTATGATTTATTGAACAGTATGTATTAATTTCATATTTAAAAGAACTTTCAGAAGTTTGTATTCTGAATATGGGCGGATTTTCCTTTAATCAGACTATCTGACCCTACTTACTGATGTTTGTCAAGTTTTCTGCCATAGTTTTCTGGTAGCCACAGCTGAACCAATCTGAGACAAACACCTTCAGCTAAACCTTTAGGTTTGCATGTTGATCAGGAGGGAGGCGCTATGATGAACCAGTAACCTGAGTGAAGTGATTATCAACGTTTCCTCTCTTTCCTTTTAAGAAAAGTTAGACTAAAAGCTTCAAAGTTGTCAATTTGAAATCAGATGCTGGCTTTGAGTTACTTTATTTTGGGTAAATAATGAAGTATAAAATATTAAAACACAGATTATTTAGTTCGGATTATGTTTAATGGTGGCTTACAGGTTGGTCAGTGATTAGATTTTCTTTGTGTTTTTCAAAGCACAGACTAGATGTTTCATTAATATTCGGTGTCAGTTTGATGACTCGTTAATTTTGGTGAAGTTGTCTTAAAGTAAAGCATATTTGTAAGAAGGAGCTTTTTCGTCTTTTTGCATTGCATGATTAAGCCTAATTAGAGTGCGATTGCAAGGCTCATTAGTTATCTGTGATTCTTCAGAGCTTTGGTCTTTTCTAGTGTGCGACATCTGTTACTTTCTGTTTAAGGATATGTGAGGCAGGTTGCATAATATTTAAGTGTATAAGTGGCTGTGTTATATAAACATACGGTAACTCAGTCTATACTGTGGATACAGCTTTACTCCAAATGGTTACTAGGAAGATTCAAGTCATTGCCAAGAAATGTACCTCACAATTCAGGCTGCTTTTTACTGCTTTTGGCAGCTCCTGCTCTCAACAATAAATGTCATTAAGAAGATTAAAACACCTCCAATTGTTAGCTGTTACTCTTTAAACAAGATTATCTGGCAAAAAATTAATTAAAATTTTTGACCAATGTAAAATTAACTTTGACAAAATGTAGGTTCATTCTTGGTACATACGTTTATATATCAATTTTTATATCCTCAAAAATAGTTAACGACAAAATGTCTTAAAATAGTTCTTTTTAGTACTTCATCAGCAGTACCATGAATATCTCGGCATCAAAGTATTCTTCTGCTGTAACACGGCATGATTGGTTTGTCTATCACAGACTGAAGCAGGGGCCTTTCCAGTTTCTCATCTGTGCTTGATATTCTGTCTGTTTCAGGCTGTAGAGGGGGCAGGTCTAGCCTTCATAGTCTACAGTGAGGCCATAAAGAACATGCCATTGTCCCAGCTGTGGTCCGTGCTGTACTTTGTCATGCTTCTGCTGTTGGGAATGGGCAGCATGCTGGGAAACATCACAGCCATTATCACCCCGCTGCGAGACTTCAAGGTTGTGGCCCGCATAAGCGATGAGGTCTTTAACGGTAAGAAGCAACGTGAGGCCAACCCTTGCACACATCGGTCTTATAAAAATTTGGTTTATAACTTCACACTGCTGTTTACACAGAAAGAAGTTATAAACACACTCGTTTCAGCCGTCCTGTTGATATTTATGAATTATCCACATAGCAGAAAATTTTTCATATCAGATAAACACACATCTTTGTTTAGGGGAAAAAAATCCTGTAAATCTTTAAGTAAGGTTTCTACAGATTGTGTTTGGATGTGTATTAAAAACACAACAACAATAAGTTTTTTAAACTGGAACTATGAAGCTACTCAGAAAGTCTTAATTCCACTAACAACTTTAAAAAACAGAACAACTACAGAGAGAAGTACGTTTGTCTGACTGTGTGTGACTAAGGTGGACCAAAGATCTGTGTCAGGGTGACAAGGATGCTCTACACTGGAGAGAGAGCAGTCTGGCCTGGTGGGTGGAGTAGTGAGAAGGTTGTTAGCACCTGGTTCAATCCCCACAGTCTCCACTCTGGGTTCCTGCGCAAAACCCTTTACCCCACACTGCTCCCCGGGCGCCGCACCATGGCAGCCCACTGCTCTCCAAGGGGACGAGTCAAGTGCAGAGATACATTTCTCCAATGTTAGATCAATAAAGTTCCATTATTAACTTTCAACTAGGTATCACAATACAAAAACAAGTCTTACTCTATCGCCCACAAAGTTGAATATAACTCTGTTTCAGATAACATTTGGTCCGACTTTAAATTACTGTAAAATTTACTCTATAGATAGTGTCAGATTTTCAGTTGATTTTATTCGTATTAGTGTCAAATCAAGAAGACTGGTGAGTAACTGACACCATATAAATTATAAAAGTTACACTGCATGGCTGTTCAATTTTACTATGATTTTTAACTCCAACATTTGAGCAGATTTACATTAAAGGAATAGTACACCCAAAACATGATTAGCCTTCATTTTCTACTCACCCCCATGCTGAACAACACTCTGGAGTACTTTTTTGATATCTCAAATGCATCTGGAGATCTGGGAGGCTTCTTGCTGTCTGCTGACATTCAAATAATGGAGGTCTATGGCGCCCGAGGCAGAAAGGTCCACAAAAGTCCACAAAAAACGTGTCAATATTCCTCCATACTGCTCGTCCAATGTATTCCAAGTGTCCTGAGTGGGTAGTATCCAGAATTTACTCGAAACGAAGTCATTTAGAATGTTTTTAGAGCATAAACAGTAGTGTATAGGATTTCCTGAAAGCGCGTTCACGACGCTACGGAAACCACGGCAGACCAAACCAGAAGAAATTGCGCATTCAGCTCGGCAAAGAACTCATGCTCTTCCTCAACACTGAAGTCCTCAGACATTTTTCTTTCGTTGTTTCTTTCTTTGCACAGGTAAACAGCACATTTCTTCTTCTACGCTTGCATTATCGGCAGAGCAGATGCTGAATGCGCACTTTCGTCTGGTTTGGTCTGCCGGCTTCCGTAGACTCGTGAATGCGCTTTTAGGAAATCCTATACACTACTGTTTATGCTCTAAAAACATTCTAAATGACTTCGTTTCGAGTAAATTATGGACGCTACCCACTCAGGACACTTGGAATACATTGGACGAGCAGTATGGAGGAATATTGACACGTTTTTTGTGGACTTTTATGGACATTTCTGTCTCGGGCGCCATAGACCTCCATTGTTTGAATGTCAGCAGACAGCAAGAAGCCTCCCAGATCTCCAGATGCATTTGAGATATCAAAAAAGTACTCCAGAGTGTTGTTCAGCATGGGGGTGAGTAGAAAATGAAGGCTAATCATGTTTTGGGTGTACTATTCCTTTAAGCATAATTGTAAACATACAATTTAGAGCTAAATATGTTAACTCTGAATTCTTAACTCTTAATTTCCTTCTTTTTTCAGGTGGGGTGTGTTTGCTGTGCCTTCTCCTTGGCCTGGGCTTCACAACAACATCAGGAAACTATTGGTTTACCATGTTCAATGACTATGGAGCCACTTTCTCCCTGTTGTTTGTCGTCCTCATTGAGGTCATAGCGGTCAGCTATATTTATGGAATCAGAAGGTTTGTATATTATTTGAGAAGAATTTTTGTTTTCTCTATATTCTGCTCCGTTTTTGTTCCATTATCTATAGCCAAATGTACATTATGTCCATTTACCTAACAGCTTTCCAATTTTACTATGTTCAGTTCTGTTTATTTCTATAGCACCAATTCACAGCACATGTCATCTCAAGGAACTTTACAGAGACAATTTAACCAGATCATACAGTCAGATTGATTCAAAGTTTTCTATCTAAGGAAAACCAGTTGATTGCACCGACTCATTGACTCAGATGCAATTCCTTTACATCAAACATGCTTATAGCGACAGTGGAGAGGAAAAACTCTCTTTGAACAGGAAGAAACCTCCAGCAGAACCAGGCTCAGTGTGAGCGGCCATCTTGCTTTTGACTTTGACTTGGGTTCAAGGAGACAGAAGCAGAGATAGAAAAAGAAGCAGAGATACGAGCTCCCATGTCAGATGATGAAAGAGAGCACATCCAGTTAGTCACAATCAGAGAAACAGGACTAGAATCATTCATGGAATCTGACATCTATAAACAAAGGTGTTGAGGGCAGCAGCACAGCTGATATTTCTCTCCAGGATAGAATCACAGCAAAACAGGAACAGAGCAGGCAAACACTGCAGAATGGGAGAATAGAGATAGAATGCGGAAAAGGGGTTGCCATGTCCTCCAGCTGTCAAAGCCTATAGCAGCATAACTGTAGAGAGAGCGCAGGATGACATAAGTATTTTGGGTGAGGAATAATAAAGGTAGCTACAGTGTGACCAAGGAGTAACCTCTATCTGGAGTGAAATTCTACCCCGCTAGTTGGGGCTGTTTCTTTGTGAATGAGGACCCTGGTGCCTCTAAGCATCATACCTGAGCTTAGATTAGAACTAAGAATGTTTATTTATTAGACAGTCCAGTTCCACAGATCTTCTCAGCACCAGCATCCAGCCCTTTAAGGGTAAAAATTATTTTAGATACTGTAAACTTGAAGACTGTAGAGTTTAACCAATCATCTCTGCCCACATATAGCTCAATCACTCAGAGCCCAACATTATCAGATGTCTGGCACGCAACTCTGTAAACTAGCCATTCCTGCCTTTTCACTCTATATATATATAATTCAATTCAAAATGCAGTTCAAGAATAATTTATTGAGCCAAAATAATTATATGTCTGAATGAGGAACATCACTTTAAAAGACAGAACCATGCTCCAACTGTTAAGATAGATGACAGCACCCAGAAAGGTCCTATTGATGCTCCCTCCTGATAAGAAGTGCTTTCACTGAGATAGATGCTTACAGCTGCACCAATGTTTTTTTGCTTGGATCAGGTCCTCTTACCTGGAGGAGGAGAAGGTCATTTTGAACTACTCTAAAAAACATTCTGTCCTTTTTTCCAAGGTTTGAAAAAGATATAGAAGACATGCTTGGTCATCGTCCTAACTGGTACTGGAAGATCATGTGGGCAGGAGTCAGCCCCCTTCTTCTCATCTGCCTATTCGTGTTCTATGTTGTGAACTACATCCAAGGTGGAACGCCTACCTACCAAGCATGGAACAAAGACCTGGTGAGTTCTTTTTTTTTTGAAAAGTGCAATCTACCAGTGTTTAGGCAATGGAAAAACACATTTGCATGTCTGTGAACTTAAGCGGGTTTAAATTTGACTGATCTGAGCTGTGAATAGAGTTTGGCATTAACTGCCTGCTATTGTGTCTCCAGGGGAAATCTGAGCAGACGGAGTATCCAGTCTTTGGTCAGGCTTTCATCGGACTGCTCCTGGTATCGTCAGTGAGCTGTATTCCTCTCACAGCTTTGTACGTCTTTTGCCAAAGGAAAAAACATGCGCAGCAACATAAGCAACAGCTCACTGTGAATACAGTTGCTGCTTAGAGACTGAGCGGGACAGGGATGAACTTCTTACCACAACCGTTCTGACTGAAAAAACGAGACTGTGGATTGTATAAAGAAAAGATTGCAAGCAATAAGCACCCGTTTATGTTTTGTATTATATTATCTGTGCTAGTTCAATTTGACGTGAGCCAAAGCTTTTCAAGATTTGTCATGAAGGTAAAGGTGTTTTCTGAATAACGTGGGCTTGCTGGAGAAATCCAGATGCAGGCATGAGATCTTTCTTTATTTATCAGATATATTTTTCACTGAATCAACTGTTGCTTTGAGCCAATCAACAACCAGTACTGTAGTCTGAGTCTAACGTTTTCTGTACAGAGCAAGAAGGACTCCTTAAACCCTTTTAACTAGTTTACACATCTAAACTGAGGAACCTAATGTAGGTTTTGTCATTGGTGTAAATAAAGTGTAGTTTGTCTGATTGTCAGACGTTTTTAACAAATATAGCTGTATTCAGTATTTTATATGAATTTGGTTCCCTATTTGTGTGATAATGAAATGAATGTATCTTTGTTCCCAAAACAAGGAGCTATTGAATGTAGGCTTTTAGATTTTATTTTCATATCTAATTTTTTTTTTATAAATATATTTTATACTTTTTTTAGGGCTGCACTGTCGCCTCACAGCATGATGTGAACCAGTTCAAATTATAGCTGAGGTATTTTTGTATAAAGCACATTTTCCTACATGAGTGCATTGATCTCCTGGCTCATAGAGTTGGATCTCACATTAATTAGTCTTGTTTGTTTTAATGTGATAGGGTTTTTTATTCAACTGTGTCGTCACGGTGATCAAGTGTTAAACAAGTAGCCTACCTTGTGGTTGTTACCTCCTGAAATACACAGTCGCCTCCAACGACTCTAACGCCAGCGGCTGTTTTAAAGATGGTTGAAACTAAATAACCATCCATTTAATTCTAATCAAACAAAAAAACATAATTTTGCTCTTCGTATGTGTTCTTCATATTAGCTTTATTTGTTTATTATTATTATTTCAGCAGTTGGGCCTTTTATGTTAAACAAATATACAATAGGATTGTTTTCTGGAAAATTTACACAAGAGCGGCTGAATTAAAATCACAGTGAGAAAATATGTTGGAGAAAGAATTAAATGTTTAGACTGAATATTGCAGTAATATGATAAACTGTGTAAAAACTTTCAAAAGCAGGTTTATATATTTGTTGTTTAAAGAATGTGTCAGAAATTGCTGTTCTTTATGAATCAGTTTTCTTATAGTAATTGTACATGTGCCATTTTTAGTAAAGAAAATCCATTACATTACATTTCACGGATTTTGTGTCCGATTATCAAAACTAAATTGTTTGTCTTCGACACTCCCAGCTACTGGTATTCAAAATATGAATCAGTTGCTCTTTGATTGCTTGTAAAGAAATGCATTTTGCTTTTTTTTTTAATTCAATCTGCGAAATAAGAAGTCAGTATTCATCACAGACAATCAGCAGCTATTGAGAATGATTTCCTGTTAAATGTTCTAAACATTTTACACTACCTTGTTATTGTTCGTTTTTCTTTTTTCTTTTTTTTTTTGAAGGCAGGGGGGGGGGGTTGCTTTTACAAATAAATACAAAACTGATGTTGAAAGGACTGTTTGTGTTTATTTAGCTCTTGAATTTTTTTTTTGTGTTTCTTAAATGACAGGTTTATAGCTTGTGGTTCCTTTTTGGATTTCAGTTTCCCTTAAGGTTCATAAAACCAGGAAAATTAATGGCTTCTCAACAGGAAGTAGGGGAAAAAGTTCAGGGCACTCAACTAAAAAGAAAGGTGTAAAAGAGTAGAATGGTTTCAAAAAATCCAAATAGTTCTCATGTATGACTGCACATAAACCAAAAAAGAAAAGCTAACATAAGAGATTAAAAGGTGTTTTGATCCTGGGAGGAAAGATCTGTGATAATGGTTCTTAGTCTGTTTAGAATGCAGGATTCATTTACTGAAGGAGCTTTCTAACTCTGCAGCAGGTTCATGCATTAGGTTCCTTGTTTTTCCGACCACCCCTGTCGGCTCTAAACCTGCCTGCAAAGAGCAGGTAGAGCACACATGATGTCATCTCAAGATATTTTACAGTTCAACCAGATCATCCAGTCAGATTGATTCAAAGTTTTCCATCTAAGGAAAACCAGCTGATTGCATCGACTCTTCAGCAATCCCTCACACTAAGCATGCTTGTAGCGACAGTAGAGAGGAAAAACTCCCTTTTAACATGAAGAAATCTCTAGCAGAACCAGGCTCAAGGTGGATTTATACTCAGAAATCAGGTTGTCTGCTTGTGTGTCGCATTGAATGCAAATTTGCCTCTTGCCCTGCCTCAGACACTCTGCTGCACCTCCCCAAAATTGTAGGTGACAGCAGACAGGGGGCATCTGATCCAATCTTCCTTTCTAATCTAAAATTCTTGAGAAAGTAGTTGCCAAACAAGTGTGCGATCACTTACACCATAATGAACTTTTTGAAGAGTTTCAGTCTGGCTTTAGAGCTCATCATAGCACTGAAACAGCTCTGGTGAAAGTCACTAATGATATTCTCATGGCCTCAGATAATGGACTTGTATCTGTGCTCGTCCTGTTGGATCTTAGTGCTGCATTCGATACAGTTGATCATAATATTCTTTTAGAAAGACTTAAATATTTTGTTGGAATTGAAGGAACAGCTCTAGACTGGTTTAAATCTTATCTATCTGATCGAATTCAGTTTGTTCATGTTAATGACAGATCTTCAACATGCTCAAAGGTTACATGTGGAGTACCACAGCGATCAGTGCTAGGACCAATTCTCTTTACTTTATACATGCTCCCAATTGGTAGAATTATTAGACAGCATGGGATTAATTTCCACTGTTATGCTGATGATACCCAGCTATATCTGTCTGTAAATCCAGATGAAGCTAACCCATTACATAGATTACAGGCATGTCTGAAGACATAAAAACCTGGATGACTCTTAACTTTCTCCTTTTGAATGCAGACAAAACAGAAGTTATAGTCTTTGGACCAGAGTCTCTGAAAAAGAAGCTGATTAATCAGTCACTTCATTTGGATGGGATTAAACTGATTTCAGATAATAAAATACGAGCTCAGTGCATAAAGAAAATGAATAAAATAATTTATTATATGATGCTTTAACATTAAAAGCTTTATTCCAAAACATATGTTTGAGATACATCCTTGGACCATTATATGGTTTAGATTGTTAGGTTGAGGCATTTAGTGAGTATGTTGTTTTTTTGAATCTGTTAGTTCAATCTCTAACGTTCTGCTCTCTCTGCTTTTTCTCATAGTAGCTTCATCTGGTCTGTTCCTGTTTGGCTGTGACTCCATCCTGGAGAGAAATATCAGCTGTGCTGCTGCCATCATCTCCTTTATTTATAGATGCTGGAGATCAGCCTGTTTTTCAGTGTGGTCCTGTTTCTCTGACCGTGACTAACTGGATGTGCTCTCTCCGTCCTCTGGCATGGGAGCTGGCTCGGAGCTCGTCTGCCTGGCTGTGTGTTTCCTGGACGGGGCCGCCTTTTACAGCTGTTTTTTGTATCTCTGCTTCGTTTTCTATGTCTGCTTCTGTCTCCTTGAACCCCAGTCGGCCTCGGCAGATGGCCGCTCACACTGAGTCTGGTTCTGCTGGTTTCTTTCTATTAAAAGGGAATTTTTCCTCTCCACTGTTGCTACAAGCATGCTTAGTGGGAGGGATTGCATTTGGGCCAATGAGTCGATGCAATCAGCTGGTTTTCCTTAAATAGAAAACTTAGACCCAGTAGCAGCTGGAGAAGGCTAATCACTCCTATGATGATGATACAGAACACCTGCCTTTTTGGCTGCTGGTGAGGTAAAAAGTTTAAAGGATAGACTTTAAGACTGACCAACGTTTCAACCTACATCGCCTCCTTTTTGGGGGCTTTGAGAAGTTTCCCCTACTCCATACCGGGTGCCAATCTCTGAAAATCCACCCTTGGTTCCAGTTTTCAAAGTTTTACCCTGGGTTCCAGTCTCCAGAGGACCACCCTAGACTCCAGAAAAGATTTACATCTTGTTCATATGAAGTTGTACCTGGTTCTGCCTTCTTGGCTTCATCACTGCCAGAACTGGCTTTTAGGAGATAATTTTCAGATCATCATGTGCACAGGCTAAAGTTCACATCTGCCCTGTCTCCAGTTGTGTTCCCAGTTTCAGAACATTTCCTGCATGCCTTTCCCTTTCTGTCAAATTATTATCCTTTAAGGGCCACAAGTGCCAAATATCACTTGAAAGGAATTGCATTACTCATTGCAATAAATGTTCTTTGCTGTAAACGAACTTTACTCTTAACAAGCAGTATTCCCATAGGCTAAAATAGATTAGTTTACTTTGAAATTGATTAAGTGTTTTTATATCCTCAATTTATTAGGTTATGGGGCAACCACTGCTACCGTTTTAAAGGTTAGTCCAGTTCAAGTCCTTTCAACTCTGTAAAGTGCAACATCATGAAACTCTGCTGATAGCACAAACTGCAAATAGTGCAGTATCTGCATGTCTGGTCCTTTACTCATTATCTTTCTACAGTACTTGTAATCAATTCATAATCCTGTTTAGCTGAACTTATCCACTAATGTGTTCCTAAGGTAATGATTTAAAAAGATCAAAGGTGTAACAGTAGGGCAAATACGACTGTATGAAACATTTGATACATTTAGTTTTTATTTAGTTGATTGTGTCTATACTCATATTACTCACAGTCCCTTTAATGTTCTTTTTATTTCCAAATATTTTTTTCATAATGCAAAAAAAATTAGAAGAATGGTGAAGCAAACAAAGGAGTGCTTTATTTTCCATTTAAGTTTGTTGAGATTTTGATCCTTTCTGCTGTCAATGTAGCAGCAATGGAGTCAGTGACTTAAATAGCATAATGCTCTGCTCTGGAGTCTGAAGAGATGACAGAAGGGTGCTTCTAAAATGACATTACAGACAAAACTGAACCCTCTCACCAAACTATTATTCAACAACTGTCAGGAATCCAGTTTGTGTGGTCTGTTTTTGTGTTTCCTTTCCTCCTCCACCAGGTGGTGCCCCGTCCTCATTGTTTCTCCCTGCACACCTGCAGCTCATTGCCTCATTACCTGTGGAGTGCTCTTAAGCTGCTGACTGCCACTACCTTGAGGCCAGAGTGTTTGCCAATACATGCTACTCTAGCCGTGCTTAGTTTAGCAGAGTCTAACCTGAGTTTTGTTTGCCAGTTTTGGGTACTCTAGCCAAGCTGAGTTTTGCTGAGTCAAACTGAATTTTTGTCAACCTGAGTCTTAAGTTAGTTTTTTTTTTGTCTTTGCCTCTCGGCAGGAAGTCATCCTGCCAACTGGATTTGTTCAGACCTTCTCTCTCTGAAAGGATCAACTAAGCTTCTAACTGAGCTGGGGTTCCAAATAGGAAGTTTGGATCCACTTTCCCCAAGAGGTCGTTTGAGCTTCACACCGAGCAAAGGTTTTATCTGCACCACAGCCAGTTCAAGTACAGCAGGAAATCTGAGTGGCAGTGAGCTTCTCCATTTACTCCAAACAGGAAGTTTGGATCAACTCTCCCCAAGAGGTTGTTTGAGCTTCACACCGAGCAAAGGTTTCATCTGCACCACAGCCTGTTCAAGTACTGCAGGAAATCTGAGTGGCAGTGAGCTTCTCCATTCACCAAGGAACAACCGCAGTCTGAGTAACCCAGTCCACCCAACACCAAACAAGACAATCTCTGGAACATTCCACACAGACTGGATTCCATAAAGGACACCTTTTCCTGGAGAAGTGAATCTCCAACCTATTCCTCCAATTCAAACCAAAGATTCAAATTACCAATGAGCCTGAACTAACCGCAGTGTCTTCCCCTCACCTTTCAGTTCTGGTTGAGCAGTGTTCTGAGCAGCACTGGAACCCTCTCAATATTCTTAATAAACCTGTTAAACTTTTCCCTGGTCTCTCTGTTTGGCTTTCTGCATTTTTGGGTCAGACCTTTAGATAAAATCATGACAACACTATTTTTCTTCTCTGCAGTAACTTCCTGCCTTTTGCAACAATCTTCTTGGATTTCTCTTGGGTAGCGTGAATAACTACAACATTTTTAGATGTAAAGAATATATTGTTTAAAAGCTTTATTTTGACAAAAGAAAATTCAGGTATCAAACATACCTGTTCAGGCAAACTGGTAAAAATCTAAACATCCTGCAATAGCCTGTTCTAATCATGATAACATTACAGTGAAAAAATAGTTTTGTTTGAATGCTAGTTCATCAATGTATTCCATTTAGGTGTAATCACCTGGCAGCAGGTGAAGAGGAAGAATAAAAATGTTGCTCTAACAGGTAGGACCTGTTCATCATCTCATTGGGTTCCTCCTCATTTTAATCCTGTCTTCTAATAAACCATAATTAAAGGGTTGTCTAACTGTGCAGTCATTGTTTATAATGCTGTAATCAGATATCAGTGTGCTCAGTGATATTAACAACTTATAAATACCTGTTAAATCTGTTTTTAAGATCTAATTTCCCTTTAGAATTCAGAACAAACCTTTGAATTAAAATATGATTGG